ATTTCGATTTGTGCTTCTGTATTTCAAAGTGTAAAGCAATATCAGGAAACTGCGTGGATTAACATCCATTTCCCACTAGAGCGGAACAAGCACTCAAAGTTCCTGTCCGCGAAACTTATCTGTTCGGCTGTATCACCACTTGGTTGTACCACTCAAAGTTATTCTACGCATTGATGTGGCCCGTGGGACTTTTTAAAGTCCCAATCCCTTATGGTGAAAACGTTGTATGAGCATGTTATAGGACGGTTCACAAAGCTGTGTTACCACCTGAATCAGCGACCCGATCGCTTCGTATCGAAGACTTTTGGAGACTGTATGTTTGTCCATAAATGACTGCAGTGAATTCCTCATGTCTGCTGTGCGAACCAAGCGAATGATGCTGAAGTTCATCATTTCAGCATCAGATCTACCCGTGATCCTGTTGGATTGCCTGTCGAACTCGGATAGCATTCGCTGGATCAGTCATGTTTCTCACAGGATTGCAAATCGATTACTTCGGCATGCGTTGTTTTGTCAACGGTGTTGCGACTATTAGGGGTGGTTCCCTAGTTGATCAGTCAGTAACATGACAGGAAAGCATACCAAAGCTCATCTAAATGCTAAATTATGTTGGTGCTTGCCGTCTTTCGTGGCGGGCTTCTCCGGACCGGTCTGGTCATCACTTGGACACAGCATTGTGGGCGTTTGTAACACTCTTGCATCCGTCTCTTTACCTCGGACTCTTGTCTGTTCTGTCTGACGACCTTTGCTCATTTTCCTTGAGTTGTTTAGTATTGTGTTTATCCTTATCGCGATTATTTTGGCAAGGGCAACCGGGTCCCTCGCACTACATAGCCGGATCAAAATTGTTGAACTGCACTGAGCTTAGCTGCCATTAGGAAACGTGCCAACTGGCTCGTTTCCCTTGGGTGTCGTTCTTCGAGACTGCGCTTGGCTCCGTGAGGATTCAAGGTGGTTTATCGGTTCCGTGGTACTTAGGAATGCGCGATCTGCTGATCAGCCGCACTGCATTGGTACTTACAAGTTTCGCATCTGGATCTGGACAATGTTTGAAGGACTTATCGTGCTCGACCTAGTTGTCGGTGACACAATTAAATCCGGTACCTTGTTTTTGTAACTATTCACTTTCCATTCCATGAGCAGAGCTGTTTTGTTTTGTTTTCTAACCGATGTTTTATTTGTGTTCCCTTTCATTTTTGCAGTTTTTTTTGGATTTTCACAAGCATTGCGATGCAAGCCATAGCAATGATACATCAATTGGTGGCGGGACCAAACTGTACCCCTTTTGATGAAGAGAACGTGTACGCTAATTCAGCAGGCTTCATGAACAGTCCGAACTACTGACACTTAAGTATGAGCCATTTTCCTCTTGGAGTTACAACAAAAATTGGCATGTTTCATCCGTGTTCTCGTCGGCGACTATAATAGGAGTGGTGAAATTCCTCACCAGACTCGTGACGCATCTAAAATTGGCTTTAACTAACAAATGCGAACTATTTTCCACACATAAGCTTGCGGTTCTTGTTAATTTTGACCATTGCATAGTAAAGCTCTACCGTTAACTATACAGTGAAACCAACTATGTTGCGCCCACGGAAAGACCATTCAGCACTGTTAAAAGATGCAGCTGCTCGGCAGATAACATCACTTTGTTCAACGGACTTTTCATTTTTCACAAATGAAGACTTGCCAGCTCAGTGATAACACCTCACAGACTACATAAACTTCTGTTTTGTTCTATGTTGTCTCATTGAGACATTCTACTTGCGAAATGACATTTTAATCCCTATTGCTCAAACAACTGCAGAGGAAGAAAGAGCAGACTTACAAACAAGCTAGCTGCTCATGTTAAGTGTTAGTCCTTGGCTATAAAAGCTGAAATAAAAAGGTTAAACATTGTACATTCAAACCGTTTTAGGCAACCACAGTTGCCATTACCAGTGGAGACTTCTATGATAACTCTCCGAAAAGCATTCCCTCAGAACACTTAACACCGAGGATGTAGATAAAACCCAACGCCGAGTTCAGCTCCTCATTATCTAACATTCCCCTACTTTCCTACACCACTAATGAACCTTCCACTTTATTTGATTCCGCAATTATTTACATGGAGCTCACAAGACTGAAACCAAACAAGGCTAGTGTACCGGTTGCTCCATCACCAGTCGCTCTGAAAGAATGCACAGATGTCTTAACGACACTTTTGACAGAGATCTTGAATTGGTGCTTAACGGCTGGTGCCATATCCGACATTTGGAAATCAGCCAGAATAACACCGGTGCCTAATAGTGAATCTCGTAAACCTTGGTCAATTGCGTGCAAGTCCGTGCTACTACAGCTGCTGGAAAGTCTGCTAATTCCCCGCATTTTCACTGGTAATCGTGCTGAGGATCTCAAACTGCTTGTAAACCAAGGCGCCCTGCTTTGGATGCCGTTTCCTATATGATGCATACCATTATGTTAGCATTAGCTAATAGATGTGAGAGCGGATGGCTCTTATTTCTTGCTTACACCAACACCTTTGGGAGCGTCGGCAGATAGTTAAAGCTTAACATTTTGTTTTTAGCGTGATGCGTGGTTACTTGACATATCACGATGGTGGGAACACCGCGTGATCGACGGGTGTGTTTGGCGCCTTGTTTACTGCACAGGAAAATGAACTTAACCGCTCAGCACCGTCATTTCACGCACCAGCCTCCGATGGCTGAGCCTCGTGTTACGCATGCCAGCCCACCGACTCCCGCGACGTGCGTTGTTTGCTTACCGGGGGTGTGGATGGAAGAGGAAGGCTGGCCAAGCGATGACTTATTCGAGAGGAATGAGGACGCTCACTTCGAAGCTGGCCTCGGTTGGAGCGTCACGGCTCCCTGATTGGAGTCCGAAAGTCGATGAACACGTTTGGCTAGACACACTTACTGACATGGCTAGGAGCCGACCTCATTGGCGTTCATGCTGTGAGTTTCTTTGTCCCTCCCCATCCCTTTTAGCCTCCCCCTCCATCTACGATCTCATTTCGTAGAATAAAACAATAATTTTTCTCTTTTCCTAGTAGCCGGATGGTAGCTTACCGGAGCGATGCAAATGCGTTGTTGGTAGCTCAGCTGGCAAGCAACTGTTGTATTTATTTTCTTTTTTATGTATTGCGGCACAGTAGGTGAGGTGTTTCCCACCTCTAGCTAACGTGTATAATGATGATGATGATGTCTCCCACCCAATTGTGTTTTGCTCTAAGTCATCTTATAACTCTTTTTCTTTTCCGCTTACGTTGGAAGTCTTGCGGCTCCGTCAAGCTTCATAGCATGTGAAATTGCTGATGTTCTCGTTCTAGTTTGCTTAACCCCAGTCGTAGAGGACTCTTTGAAACTTCAAAGTAACTTGGACGAACTAGTGATTTGTTGCAACTCCCAACCCTTCTCTCTCAACCCATTCAAGTGTTGTGACGTATTGTGCTTTTTGCTACATCACAACCTTCTTCATCATCTTGTACATATTTCCCCTCCTATGATTGTGGATGACCAAAGCATACCTCGCACATTTACCGTAAAATATCTCGGATTTTTCCTCTCTCACAATTCGGCTTGGTCCATACATATTCTTGAGACACACAAAAAGGTTAGCAGGCTCTCTTTTTACGTCATTAGGCCCAAAGTGCTTTCCGTTTCTCTTAATTTAATTCTGAGCTTTGTAACTGCATGTATCCTCCTTCACTGCTTATATTGTCCCCCTGTTCTTTTCTCCAGACTGCTTCAAAAAGATTATGTTCTTCTTGTCCGTTCGTTAAAATTTATTTCTCACTGCTCTGGATTAAGGAAAGAACCACTCGTTGACTTCATTGTTACCACGGATTTTGACGAATGCACCCAGGATTTTAAATGTATCCTCTCACCTTTTACATGTTATCCTAGCCAGCAACATCTACTTTAAAGTTTTATATTTTCTTACCTCGTCGTATCGAGACTACTCTGTCTATCACGCCTACTAATCGAATCATCGGGAATGAAAAACCGCTTTCTTGACCGTATGCTTGTTTGCAGTTGTAACGTTTCGTTCATTGCTGTCAATTGTTATTTATTGTTGATTGTTTGTTGCACTACATTCCGGAGTTTTAATGGTAAAATACTAAAAATGCAGCCATATGGAGAGCTTATTTTGACTTCACTTAATTCATATGTCGCAAGATGTGCGGCACACCACTGAACTTTGTGACTCATTGTCACTCGTATGATTGTGCACTGAGTCAAGTTCCTGATCACGTACCGTAATCTAACAGTAACAAGCTTGTCTTAGAATCTGACGGCGCAGGTTCAAGCATGCGTAGGAGCAGGGCGACCATCGCAGCATTCTTAGCCCACGTGCAGCTAGTGGTGGTTGCGCGGCAGCGAAGCGCCGTTCCCGTGTACGACATACTGCTGGTGTCTTCTTCTTCTTCTTCTTAAACTTTGATTTCCTAGTTACGGCTTATCAGCCTAAGAGGCCGACCATAGTGCGAGTTTCGATGCCGGCAAACATTTTACACGGTATCTAACTTTGACCGAGACTTCCCGTTTATATGACAAACATTTCTGACCTTCCACTCATGCTTCTGTCCACCTGCTTTTTCAATCATTTGAACGTAATCTGTATGCTTTTGTTGAGCCGGACACATTGTCCGAACTTCTACTCATTTTTTCCTCCACTGCATTAGAAGCCGTCTGGTTATCAGACCACTTTGCCCATCGTACACTGAACTAGTGTACTATTACTCTTTATTACTATTATTACTATTACTATTATTATTACTATTACTCTACTATTACTCTTTATATTACAAGCCTCGCTTCTTATTTTTGATGTCCTATTCCATCCTTGTAAATTTTGATTTGCTTTCTGCATTGGACGCATTGTGGGTCTCTGTATTTAAGGTTTGATTGTAGGTTCTGGATACTTTTATCCTCCAAAGGCCACTATTCGATCAAATTGATTTGTTGGTATTACCGTGATGAACTATCTCTGCTTTATTTGTATTGCAGGAGAACTCCGCTACCTCACCGTGCTCCCGCACTAGTTTGCCATTTAGCAATCCTTATTTTCGGCTCTCAGTGCTCACTAGTCCTCCATCATTTTGTTTCCAACATTCTGACCGTCCAACCATTACTCTACAGTCTCTGTTCCATTGGATCATTCATTGTTAGGCAAACGCACTTCGACATTTTCTACCATTTCTCGCAATCTGGGCCCAGGAGATGAAGTCCAGTTCAGTTCCTTACGTGCGCGAAGTGGACGAAGATGAAGAGGTGCACATGCAAGATATGTCCAAAGGTGGGCGTTCACACGTGTTGCATCATAAACGACTTTTTCAGGTTGCGGTGCGTCTTTGGCCTGTGATCCTCTTCGTGGATTACATCGTTATTTGATGCTGTTTTTCATTTGTTTTCTTTCGTTTGGAAGCTATTTCTGCTACGATAGCCCCGCTGCTCTGCAAGATGTAATCACGCGGGATATGGGTTTGACGGCAACGGAATTCCTGAATCTTTACGCATTTTACTCATGGCCTAATGTTGTATTAAGCTTTGTCGGCGGTTTGCTCATTGATCGTGTATTCGGAATTTCTTTGGGGGCCATCATTTTCTCACTGTTTGTTCTGATCGGTCATCTAATCACCGGAGCTGGCGCATTGGCCAACAGCATTGGTCTCATGTATTTCGCTAGATTCGTCTTTGGTATCGGAGGTGAATCGCTCTCTGTTGCCCAAAACACCTATACTACTGAGTGGTTTCCTTCCACTGAACTGAATTTTGTTTTCGGATTGCAGTTGAGTATAGCTCGTGTTGGGTCCACGGTCGGCATGAACACATTACAGCCGTTGTACCGGAGCATCGGGGAAAACTTCGGCATCACAGGCTATGTACGCCTGGGTGCCACGTTGATAGTCTCAGCTGTGACTTGTATCTTTTCTACTGGATGCGCCCTCATTCTGGCCTTCTTCACAAAACGGTGAGATGATTTGCCGCTTTGTAATTAATCTTTTTCTGTCATTATTAATGTCATTGGTTTGGTGAATCTTTTACTATCTCCGTTCCCGGTACTGGCATTATCATCATTACACCTAAGCTGAAGATGCGAAACACAATTCGGCTATCGTGCCACAGCACAATATGAAGCTTAGCATCCTATTACTCCTTGGCTGTAAGATCGTGGTTGGAAATGGAGGACAAGCGAGTGACGGTGGAGAGACAGAAACTCACAGCACAAACGCCATCCAAATATGTTCATCGTCTCTGGGACCCCAGTCTGGATGCACCAAGTGTTGCTCTGAGGGTCTTCATACCTTTTGACCAAGTCATCGCTTGGCCTCCCCTCCTATTCACCCTTTGAATCAAGTCAGTTTTCTCGAGAATCGGAAGTTCCAAATAAAAAAACGATGTCCGCATGGCTAGACATGGACTTGTCAGTTGGACCGGAGTGACTCCCTGCGATTGCATATGTTGAAATTAGAGGACGAGCGATCATCGAGGTAAAATCTGGGCAAGCGAAGAATTGGTGGATCGAAAACAGGGGAATAGAAGTGTACTTGTAAACGGCACGCTAAGGATGAAAAAGCACAAGAAGTGGAATAAGAAGACGAGAAGGCCTGAGCAGTAGCATTCAGACCCCTATCCACCCTGCTTGATGCAGCAGAGGTGGCGCTGTTGATTATCCTCTGTGATGGTCAGAGCATCAAGAAATCATGTGGGGGAAGTTCATGGAGTTCTATTGTGCGTGCAGGATACTGTCCGTTTGCCAAGGCCTAGAGAGAAGAACGATTATGATTCTCAACCGTTTGCCTTTGCTTCAAAAACCTGGCCACAGTGCAGTGGGTTTTGGCACTGGGCTACAGAAAGTCCGTTTACTGAAGCAAGGAGCCACCGCAACCTGGAGGGTTCAGGAGATAGTTTCTCTGGCCTGTAATCTGGTATGCGTGTCTCTTAAGGTGCGAAAGCGTCACCTAACATAGCCCAATAATGCGTTGAGGCACGGAAGCCATCGCACCATGTTATGGCCCGGTCTCGTCATTGTCACCTCGTCCTCTATGATGCTGGCATGTACAGACTCGATTCAGTTTGATTTGAGGTTGGTAAAATGCGCAGACTTACGTCGCTCATGCTTTTCCTTCAGTCGGCGCTTTCACGAGACGTAAGCAATCTTCCGCAGACATCGGTAATCAAGACGTGACCGATCTTATGCCGTCCATCATAGGCTTGATTACTGATGACCCGATGTCGCGATTTAAGTAATCATTTATCGGGTAACTGTATTTCTCCTCTCTCTCATCCAACAAAGCTTGCAACATGACAACTACAGTTTACTTATTTGTGCTACCCATCCATACTTGTAACTCGTCTTCACACTTCGGTAGTAGCCGTCAACTGATCATCTACCTATCTCTAACTGAAGATGCTTCAACCACAGCATTTATTTTAGATGGCCACTTGCAAACGCACAAATTGTGTTCTTCCCTGAATACTGCCTTTTTTCTGACTAATAACGCCAGTTTATGGTGCTCTTTTATCACTGGATGATCTGCACTGACCATCACTGAGCAACCACTAGATTTGGTCACTTAGTTCCGTCATCGTATTGGATGTGTCAAAATGGCCCGCTTAACTTACCAGAATCACAACTATCTCTGGAGACGCCAGAGCATTCAGCTATCTGTTTCAGTGCCGTATGGTTCGCTGAAGCTTGTTGATTTCTTGAGAGAACTACAAATGAACAATACTGTAGTCCATTGATTCATGATTGATGAAAACCATCCGGTACTGCGCTGGAAAACCTACTCACTTTGAACCATCTACACTGGGCAGGTTAAGTTCTTCGTTTGCTTGTTGATATATATGTATATATATACATATATATATATATATATATATATATATATATATATATAGCACTAGCCCAATAAACATTTGGCAGTGCCACAATACATAAGTAACAATAACAAAAAGGAAAGAGTGAGTCAAAGGAATTTAAGCAAAGTCCCACGTGTTGTGTGGGCATACAGCTTTCCGATTGCCCAGGCCTCGGAAGAGGGTTGACTTAAGGGGCTCCACCCCGAGCCTTTGGTCTAAAGACCTGACTCACAAGGCAGCGGGGTGGTTCACGAAGACCGTTGACAGACAAATGGCTCATTCGCCTTCCTTGTGTTCTGAAGCAGTCCACAGGGAAGCCGGTGGCCAGCAAGCTTGTTAAGTACTCACCCCCAGTTACAGGAGTGTGTGGTCACTGACCCTATAGCCGGTCACATTGGCTTTAATACAGCGCCGTAGTAGCACTTGTGTTATTTAATGGAGAACCAGGTGGCCAGCTCAGAACTCCCCACGTTTTGAGACGCTTCCGCTGATTGTCCGCGACTGCTTATTCATCTCGCCTGCAAAGCAAACGAGACTTATTCACAGTTACCTCCACAAGGAAGGCATTCCCCGATCCGCAACCTGGGGACGCGCCCGATAGCGTACAGCTCCGCCTGTTGACTCCTAGCTCGGTGTGCATTGTGTTCCATTTGTGCACCAAATTGTTTGAAACCATATCGACCAAGCTTTGGACAGATCGAACGGCTTGGACAACTAATCACCTAGTATGCATATGCTTCAGATACTGATCTGGTTCGCCTTCTGGTAAACCAATTTGTTGAGACTACCTGTCGTCAACTATTCACACAGCAGATAGTCCAAGCAAGGCCACATCAGGCATAGCTTTGTCCTAGTCGGTGCCTTTTGTTTTTCCGGATGGGCACCGGCTATCAACTGTATTAATAGTCTTAAACCTTATCCGAAATGGCCCATTCGCAACATTGATTGTACTATTACCTTTAGGTCTAAATGGGCGCTGGACATCATTACTACTGGCAGCAGATCTTTGACGACACTGACGACCCACCTCATTTCCCTTCTCTCTGTCGAGCCAGTTGTGGACGAATGTCGTTATCTCGGATGCTTACGCCACTTCCAGGAGGATGTCTACCTTTGTACGGATGTTTCACTGATCACTGATCAACTATCGCGCGATAGATGTACTCTGCATTTGACGAATTCAGTCTACCATTACCTAGCGACTTGGAGTATTGTGATGACATGCCGTAATCGGTGACTCCCCGTAGGCTGCGCAAGTTAGAGGTGTCTGTCGCATTTCGGAATGGCCTTTTCCGCTTCCAAGTGCGAGGTTAAATGCTGCTGCTAACCTCAATCCCTTCTTTGTTGGAAGCAACAGATAAAATCGTTTACCTTGGGAGTTGCATTGGCTTGATTTAATTATTGTTTGGGGTCCATTTACGCATCACCAAAGCCAGATTAGCCTTTGCCATCCTGCGATATCTCTTGCGCCGGCGTGATCTCAGCGGTTCACAAAAGGTCGAGTCCACAACGCTACTGAATGAACAACACTCCTATATGTCTGCGAGACGTAGCTCGTTCGCAGGAGCCATGTCCAGAGACTACTTGTTTTGATCAATACTGTTTCCGTACCGTCATTGGAGCACATTGACAGCATTACATTAAGAATGACGACGTTCGACATTGGATTTTCCGGAGTCTTAACCGATCAATCGACTGCGTAATCTCCTTGCTTGGCCTGTGGTATCTCGGGTAGGTTATTCGTATGCCTGCTCAACGATTGTCTTGTTGTGCTTTATTTCCGTGCCTCGGCGTTGTTTGGAAACCTCTGAAAGGTGATCGATGCACAACCCAGGCACTGACATTGCAGTTCACCCCAGTTGAGGGCTCAGCGACAATGAACATACCTGGATGGATATAACTCGGAATCATACTCAATGGCAAACGTGCTGTGAAAATAATTTCCCCTGACTACCTTTTCTCTTTTTTTGCTGTTATCCTATGCATCACGGCACTATGCCAATCGTGCCCTTGTGCTCCTACCATACAAAGGCAAAGGGAGCAAGCAATGTTGCACGAATTATTGCGGCATCAGCTTGTTGAATTTTGTGAGCCAGGTGATTGCCCGATTCCTGCTCAACCGCCTCGTCAGTCAGGTTGTGGAACCGAACGTGGCGGAAGCACAGAGTGGATTCCGTTCGGGTCGCAACACTATACATATGTTCGCGGCTCGTCGGTTGCAGAAGTGCAGAGAACGACATCCAGGCATTTGATATGGTGAACCGCGAGGTATTGTAGCTGGTGTTGGGTTAGTTTGGTTGTCCGAGTAAGTTTGTAGGTTTAATTGAATGTCTGCAAAGTGGTATGCGGGTGTGGGTGCAGCTGAGTGGAGAGACTTCGCATGACTTTGCAGTTGTCTCTGGTGTACAGCAAGGCTGTGTCTTAGCTCCTGCTCGGTTTAATATTTTTCTTCATACCACGAAGTATTGGGCTTTCGCTGATGCTTGATGCTTACGGTTTTTGTGTAGAGCACGTTAGTTTTGGGTTGCTGAGCATCCATCGTTTCACTGCGAGAATCTTATTCTGTGAGACAACTATCCGTAGGTTGCTGTTCGCTGACGACTGTGCGTTGTTTGCACACAACGCGGATGGGTTGCAGCACATGACTAGTGCTCTGGCTTCGACAGAGGCCAAATTCGGACTCACCACCAATATAGGTAAAACTGTCTGTCTCTTTCAGCCTTCACCGGAGGTGCGGATGCGTTTTGGCGGACGCCCACGACGACGCTGTGAGCGCATTGACACCAGCCAACTGACAAAGCCAGCTGTTCTGAATGCGTATTAATGTACGCTGTCATGCAAGCTGAATAAACGTTCGCTGGATGCAGTTGAAGGTCATTGGTCTCATATTCACCAGACCTTACTAGCAGCAGGGAAATCCTCATGTGGTATGTCTAGTCACCAACATGGACATTGGGTCTCTTCGCGGTCTCTGGAACTTATCGACGCTCGCCGGCATATTCCGGCTGGAAGTGAACACCATGAAACCCGCAAAGAGTTCCGGGCACGACTCTGTGCTAGCCTGAAGAGAGACCGCGAATCTTGGTGGTCTCATCGTGCGTTAAA